ATCGAGTCCTGGTGGAAGAGAGAAGCCATTCGAACCGCCAGAGTTATTCTGTGCTCCCTGGTGATGCTGTGAATTCTGCTGATTTGTCACAGCAGCGTCAGATCCATATCTCCCGCGAATGATTCCCTGAGATGTTCCATGCTCGACCTGACCGGTGAAAACCCCCCCCGTAGGGGAACACCCAGGATATGTGTTGATGGTCCCCCTCGGAACTGCTCGTCCGACTACGGGCGAAGACATTGCCCTTGGTGGCATTGGCCCGGCAGCTCCGACGTTGGAAAACCAGAATTCCCTTGGTGCGGTTCAGGACTCCGATGTGACGGATCTCCACGTGATGGCCCGGATCCAGGATCAGGAGCAGTGCCATCCTGCTGATTATGATCAGGAATGCAATCAGGTCCTCCAGGCCCCGCGCTGGGGCCGCGATGCTTAGTTTTCCCGTCGGGATCAGCTCTCAGACAACCGAGGCAAATAGGTCGAACACTCGACCCAAAACGACGTACATCGTCAGGCGAAGCGATGTGTTGATCGCAGTACTCGTCCTTGCATATGAGACACCTCACAAGTCCGTGTCTCCCCCCTCTTCCTCTGCATGCGCGGCATCTAGGAAACTGATCGCTGCACTTGAAACATGAGTTACAGTCATGGTCAAAGCAGTCTTCGCAGACTGACTTGCCGCAGCTTCGGCATGGATAGCGAGGTTCCCGATGCTGTGGATGCCCTGGCTCCTCATGAGCACACCTGGCCCGGTTATCAGGGGCAGCGCCGGCAGCCCGAGTAATGGCCCTCGCTCTAGAGGGATCCCTGCCGAAGATGGGGGCTGATGGTGATGGTGGGGGTGGCCCCGAAGGAGGTGGAGGTGGAGGTGGAGGAGGCCTCGCCGAGCTGACGGTGCGAGCATCACGAGGAGGAGAACCTCTAGGAGCCCTTCCCTGGGTTAAGGGATCTGTGTCTCCAGATTTCTCCCATGATCCCGTTCCGGCGGTCGAACCAGCGCCAGCACTTGAGGATCCGCAGGCAGCAAGAGGTTGCTCCCTCAATTCAGCGACCTGCATGTTGATCTCATTGACCCTCAGCACAAGCTTCATAAACTGCTCTTGCATGTCCCTCGGGTTGGGGCCTAAGCTTTTGTCATGAAGGTCCTTGACACATCTAGCAATGCGGGACAATTGAAGCTTGAATTCTTCCTGTTTCTGTGAGTTCTCATTGAGGGCTCCGGATACCTTATTACTGAACTGCTTCAGGTCGGTCGCAGGAACGAGATGCTGGATATACGTCTCGACGTTCCCACGGATGGTTCTTTCTCTTGAGATGGTTCCCTCAATGTCGATGACACTGCGAGAGTTCGCCTCAACTTCGTCTTTGATTTTCCGAACCTCAGCCTCAAGGGCCCCGATCTCAGAAAACCTAAGAAGCTGGACCTTGGCGTTCTCAAGTGATTCGGCCTGCTCGCGAAGTTCAGCAGCGGATATGACGATCGAGTTAGATCTCTCATCATACATCTTGAAACGCTCATTCATCTCCTTCTCGCTTCGGGCAACCCACTCGTGGAAATCACGGAACTTAGCCTCGTGTTTTGAGAGAGTTCCGGCAACGGCAGAGAAGGATGATTCAACTTTCTTCTCGAAGGCGTCAACACGGTTATTGATCTTCTTGATCTCACCGACGCAAGCGTTGATATCATCCCTACATGAACGAATCTCAGCTCTGCATCCCTGGATTTCGGCCTTGCACCCCTTTACCTCGTTATGGATCGCGAGAAGCAGTCGTTGAAGCTCAGATGCAACAGGATGGCCGCCACTTGTGGAAGCAGACGGAGCAGGACGACTATCAGCGTCATGATCTCCGCGGCTATTCTCTTCCCTGTCGGGAGTGCAGCCCGGAGTTCCGATTTGAAAGAATGCGGGGACAACGGAGTCGTTGACCGGTTGATTCGAAGGAAGCCCTCCATATCCAGGGGCAATAGTGCTAAGACCAGGTCTCCGATTCCTAGGCGTAGAGTTAATCCCGTCATCAGTCTCCTTCTCAGACATCGGGGCGTTGGAGCTGAGCCCAGACCCCGCAGAGTGTATAGGAACGTCAATAGGATCGTGATGAGCTGGGGGATTAGATCGCAGTCGTAGAGCAGCTTCACGTCTCTCGGGTGACTCAGAGCTCCTCTTTGTGGCTCGTGAGTCAGTGCCGGTTTGTCCCGACACATTATCAAATGATGATGATCCGCGAAGTTGAGCTTGATCTGAATTAGGTTGAGTGAGATCAAGCCGTTGAGCAACGTCACCATTGAGTGGCTTAGGGGAAAGTACTTTGGCAACGCGGCTCGGCGGGAGCGATGTAGTTCGTCTCTCTGGTGTGACCTCGGCCTCATCGATTACATCAAGGATTCCAGGAATGGTTTCATCATCTTCATTTCCTCTCCTGGGTGGCTGATGGAAGGGGATGTCGAGGAGGTCAAATGGAGTAGAGCCAATACCAGGTGTATCCTGCTCGGATCCATCACTGGTACGGTGGCTGGACTGCTCCTCGAGGTCGATGACGTCGGGGGCGGACTCTTTTCGAGTCTGACGCCGATTGAACGCCGCGAAGAGACCGGCATGGCTTCTTGACGAAGAGGAGGAAGGATTTGGGCCTGCTGTTTCGCGGCCCGCATCCGATCGATTAGTACCTGATGTCCGATTTGGCGGATTTGAGCCCGCGTTGTAGCGGTTCGCATCCCGACCTCGGGTACCTGAGGAAAGCGGTGGATTCGGACCAGCGTTGTAGCGGTCCGCATTCCGGTCGCGGGTACCTGACAGGTGAGATGATACTGCATCAGGGATGAAGTCCATATCCGCCGGACTGGGGTGATCGTGAATGATGTCAATGTCGGATGAACCTGAGACGGGAGGAGGGCCAGCTATTTGCGGCCAATCCTCAATCGCCCGTTTGCCCACCTCGGGTTGGGCCGAACCTGCAACATGAGAAGGGGAGAAATCTTCAATGGGGTCATTTTCTCCATCATGAGGAAAACCCTGAGTAGGCTCATGCGTAGGCAGGGCATCAAAAGATCTGTCAATTCGGGAAGGCTGAGACCTCCAATCAGCATCAAAAAGGGATTGAAAATCCAGATTCCCAACCGAAACGGGGGCACCCGAGTTAAAGTCGAGCCGACCGAAATCAGGCGGTGTAGCCTGCGATCCACTGCCGAGGAGTTGGTCAAACTGATCCCATGTAAGGGACCATGATTGAGCCGGCTCCGGATGAGCAGCATGATGGATAGCCCGGTCCTCGATCTGGAGCGCCACGAACGGAACAGTAGGCGAAATCGATGAGGGCACCTGATTTGGAGGAACCTCAGCCTCTTCTAGAGGGGGTCCGTCCTCGATCTGGAGCACTGCCGCCGGGATAGGGGCCTCCGCATCCTCATCAAACACAACCTGAGAAAGGATCCAATCGTCCGTGATCACCCCGGGATTGGGCTCTGCGCCCACCATCGGGGGAATGGGCCACAGCCGGCTGTCTAAGCCGGGGGCAGCAGGCGCGGCGTTGCCGCGAAGGGCGTTGGCCTCGTCGTCCACGAAGCCCGGCCCACGATGAGAAGCTCCGGGGGACGCCATTGCTCGTACAAGTAGGCGATGGGAGCAGGTAGCGGGTCACGTCCCGCAACCGGATCACCAGCCCCAGCTTCTAGCTGGTACGGCTGATAACCTGCGGTTTTGGGCGAACACGAAGTAGCCCAGGGAAGCAAATGAGCACAAAGTAGATCACGATGTACCCAAAGCACCCGGAAACACAACTCGGGTGAAGCTGTGGATGATGACCGGGTTGAGGAAGTGACGGTTGACAAAGGAGAAGTATGGGGAGGTTAGAAATCAAGTTGAAGAGGATTAAGTTCAATACCAAGCCCAAGTAGAACAGCGCGACTCACCGAGCACCTCCTACACCCAGCCGCCCGCGGCCCCGACCCTTTTCGGCTCGAGGACGAAGAAAGCTGCCAGTGAATGGCGCACGAGCGTGAGTCCTATTCCCACTTGACGGGAGGTAAAAACTTGAGCCAAACGGCCGTTCGGCCGTTTTGACATATGAAGAAACAACACGTGAACAAAACACAATCTTAAAGGGAACCGGGAACCCCCTCCCAAAAACACAAACAAAACAACAGCAACTCACTAGGTGTCCTTTTTCTTTGCTTAGATTTGTATTTTGATGACAAAGAACTGTCCCATGGATTGCGGCATCCAGCATTCATGATAACTCTGTTTTTTTCGGTTGCTTTCATCGCTGAACCTCTGGACTTGCACTTAGTTTGCCGAGTTGAGCTTTTGTTCGTTGACAACCACAAGCAACAACAACCAACCACAAAACCACAACCAACAAGAGCAACAACAGCCAGCACCACAACCAACAAGAACCAACAACCAACCCCACAACCGACAAGAACCAACAAGAACACACCCAAAACCACCAGCAACCACCAAGAACTGCTTCGAACGCCAAGGCTCAGGAATTCCAACATCTCCGGCACCTGCGCAAACTTCACCGCGGCCTTCCCCGCAGCCTCCCCCCGCCGCAGCTCCTCCGCCTGGAGCTTCTGCCAGTCCTAAGAGTCGCTCGAAGTCGCATGGGGAAACCACACACTTCCAGCGAAGGAAAGCGCGCGCCATTTTCAAAAGTAGGGAATTGAACAGGGCAATCAAATACTAAATATCATTTTTTGCTCCAACAGAGAAAACCTGGGAGACATCCCAATCACACCAGGAAGGCATCAAACAGCAGCGAGAAACACACCGCAAACACATTCGTGGAAAGCAGGGTAGTTTGGGATCAACTCAGGGCAATTTCAGCAATCGCAGGATTCGTGCCCCGCTTGACGGTTGGCCGATGCTACCATGATTTTACTGGCTTGTTGCAATGCACCCTTGACTTGGTCAATCTGGAAGCACGCTAGGCCCAACACACAAGCAACACATGTTGGGCAACCCTCGAGGACAAGTGAAGAGATGCATTGAGTTCAACGGTCCACATCACCATGATGCCAATCCAATGCGCAAATTCAAGGGTTGCCCGTGTGCTTCGGCAGGCCTGGGCCTGCAACTTGTCCAAGGCTCCTCAAAGAGCACCACTGGGGAGCCCTTGCTCGAGAGCATCGCCTGTAGGGGCTCTTCAGACCACTCTTTGGTTGTCTGCTCCGACAGGTCCTTCCACACCTTCTCCGCCGTTTCTTTAGCATCCTGAAGTCAAAAGAGCATCCGAAAGAAGGCCCCCTTCAGAAAGAAACGTCCGAAAAAGAATGGGGGACGGGGAACGCCTGCTTTGGCCACCTTGCTGCAAGTTCGATTCAATTTACCTATTTGCACGCTTGCGCAACTTCTGCCTAAAGGCCCGGACAACCCCAAAAAGCACAGGCAACGCAAACCCAGCAATGCAGCCGGGTCGAAGCTTACCATGAGCCGGGCAGCCCCGATGTTCGACCCGATGATGCCCGTGGGGCCACGCTTTAACCACCCGGAGACATATAATCCAGCGCTTCCCGGGCCCGCCGACTCCACGCAGCCGTTTCTGTGGGGCACTCGGTTCGAAGATAGAGGCAGGCCCGCCATTGGCAGAATGTCGAAGCCTACGCTGCGCACCAATAGGCCGCCTCGTCAAATTTGCAAAAATCAAGACGTCCGTGGCAAGCAAGCAACATTCTCAAGATTTGGTGGCCCTAGAGGCAAAGTGCCCCATTGGGGAGGGGGGGGGGCGGACGTATGCACATGTACTCGCATTTTCTGGGGTTTGCTACCTGAAAATGCAAGATTACATTTTTGCGGAGACGTGCCAAAACGTATGAAACGATTTTGGACGCTGGTGGACCTATAAGCAAGGTACCGCGCACAAATCCAAGTCATCCCCAATGCCTTCAAAAGCCTCTGCGCATGCACCACATCTGCCCCTCCAGCATCATCAGCTTTCTTTTTGCGACTCCCCTGACCCACCCTATCAAGCTTCCCAGGGAAATCCGTGAAAATGTCCATCAACTTTTTGGTTGGGGGGGATGAGAAAATGTAACTTCTACATGCCCGGGTGTCAAGTTGCATTTCCCCCCCCCCCCCCCACCCCAGCAAAAAAAACGGACATAGACCCCTGAAAGGGGTCCGCTTACACTTTGTTTTGGGGAGGGGGGGGGGGATGCAAAATAAATTTTCAGACTCCCCCCCCATTTTCGACCCGAAGTGGGATACATGTCATGTATACGTCCGACTGCGCGTTCCCAGTCGTGCCCGTTTAGCAATTCGCACGCAGCTGCAAAGAGAAAAGCAGACCCTCTCTTAGAGCTCCATGGCCTTGCAGAGCAGACGCAGCCCACGCGACAAACGCAAGGGCACAATCGCGCCAACGCAGCGTGTGGCAATGTGTGGCACACACACACACACACCAACAACCCCAAAAAAAACAACGCACCCGCTCAGCACTGCACACACGCAGCCGAATGGTAAGCGCACCCACCCAAGTGCCACTACACACACACACACGCCTGCCATATGGTAAGCACACATGCTCAAGCGCGCCCACTCAGAACCGCACACACGCTTCAATTGGTAAAGGGCAGAAAGGGTCAAAAGGGCCGAATTGGCACCTTTTTCGTGATATTTGCAACAAATCCTGGCTACGTGCTGGGCGGTTGATGCCCGGGATCCGCAGTGGTCAAGCAGTTGTGTAGCTTGGGCCCAGTCGCCGAACGAATGCAGTGGGAGTTGTGGTGTCATGAATGGCTGCGAGTGAGGCGAGCTTCTCCCCATGGGAGAACTTTGGAGTGGGATTTGCTTTGGGATCCATCCTTGGAAACGTTGAAAGAGCTTCATGGTTTTGGGGAATCAGGATGTTAGGGTGGAGCAAGCTGGGACACGAGGTGTGAACAAACATGTTGTGAAAGTAATTCACATCGTGCTGACTTGTCAAGGCCACCACCCTTGCAAGCCAGGATGAAGCTAAACCAACTGCTAACCAACGGTGAAAGTTGATCAATCCATTGTATGATTATCTCAGGCAACCAAACTGTGGCTCTGGCCCCACACTCATCAGCCATTCGCTCAATGGGTGGTTTGCGATTGCTGGCCACCTATCTGATAAAAACAAACATCCCGTGCATTTGGCCTAGGCCAAAACGCTCACTTCATTGGGAACAACACAGCCGAAAACAGGCCGATCTGCATTTTGCCCAGACGAAACGCAAGTTTCATCGCACAAAGTATGCAGCAGGTGTGCCCCAGGTCCCCTCCCAAGTTTTCAAAACCCAAGCCACAGGAGACTTCCAGGTTCTGCGAGGCATCCGCAGGCGTTGCTTGCTGCTTGCCCGGCTCCCCTGAGAGCTGGTTCCGACTCATTCGAATCCCCGTTAGGGCGCCCTGCGTTGACAGCACCTCCAAGGGCGACCTGTCGAAATGAATGAAAACCAACGAAGGACGAGCGTGTTGCCGCATGTCAAGGATCATATCATATCACATCATATCACATCATATCACTGATATGTACGTGAGTGGTTCACCTGTGGTCCGTCTCATTGCTGGCTGCATCATTGGATGCATGATGAAGAATAGAGCGTGGGGTCACAACACCTGGCTTCTGGCAAGGACATCGGGAATGGCAAACAAACCATGCCGGAGGCATTGCTGGAGACATGGGCAATGAGGGTGTGAGCACACCAGCATGACATGAACCCCATTGAGCCTGTTACTGCAACTCATTCTGCTAGCTTGGCTTCCCCCTTGCCATTCAATTAAGTTTCTGCCAGCTTTTGTGCCGTGCAAGGGAAAAGGCGACAATGCGCTTACAGGACGATGGGACCAAGACGACGCGTCTGCTTGACTGAGAATTTATCATGCATTAGTAGGATTGCCCACAAGCTGTATGTAGACGTCGCTGTGCGAATGCCAAACAGGCATCCTACTGCATATGCACACATGCAAACATGTATATGCCTGTGTCCATGCACACATCGTTGGAATGTATGCATATATATATGTGTTTCTGTCTACGTGTGTGGGGGGTTTGTACAGCGGTGTATCGGTGTATCGCGGTGAGTGCCAGAACAAAAAACAAGTGTTGACACATTTGACAAATACTGGTCTGCAATCCATGAGCACTTTGAAACGCAGCATGCTTTATTTGAATTGAGCCCAGAAAGCCAACTCAACACTGCCCACACACGCCCCAAACATGTGCAGAATGGCTGTGGGATGCAGTGGGACAAACAGTGTTCTGCACGAATTGGTGGTGGAACTGCTGGCACCAACCGCTTTGAAGCGGGGATTGTCAAGGTTCTCATCATGTAGCCACTACCACGCCCATGATGCATGTTACGTACAATGCAAAAAAAGTGACCACCTGTTTCGGTGGTAGCCAGGTCAAACACCCATGACTGACTCAAAGTGTTGCGTCGCGGCAAATCCGACCAAAGGCCATCCCCCTCAAGGATGGAAACCGCTAACTAATATGGTGGATGTCCATGGAGCTGATGCCTCAAGCTCGATCCTTACAACTGGAAGCAACAAAAGTGTGTTCTGAGATTCCCTGTTCAATGCTTGCTGGGTTCAACAAATTGTTTGGCACGATTGCCATCAAGTCCAAACCAGATAAATAATCACAAGAGCAACGCCTCTATCTATGGTGAGTATGTCTGCTTCTGACCGGCAAGTTTCGAAGTTTGGGTGTGGGATCAACTGTGGATATGTCCAAAAAAAACAAGGCCCCCCCAACCTTGTAATGATGTCTTGCTTTGCTTGGTAGATGGACAGCTCAACGAGTTTCGGGGAAAAGTCAACGTGAAGCCATCCAAAGGGCCAATTCCCCGTCGCCTCAGGAAGTGGAAGCGGAGGATCCGCTTGCTGGTGCTTTCCAGCTCCGAGAAGTTGGCCACCATCTTCTGCCTAGGGTTCACATGGAAGAACCGCCACACGTTTGTGAACTGGGTCACTTCCAAGGGCATACCCGCTGTTTACAAAGGGTGACCAAAGGGCCGGCCACAGAATCGACCCACAAACAGCCACGTCTCTAGCATGCACTCATTGCTCGGCTAGAAATGAGGGACACTCATGAAACCAACCTCCATGGGCGAGTTCCTTTGAACTCCGATCGCTGAGCTTGCCATGTTTCGCCCTTGATGCAGCTAGAAGACTTGCCATTCTCAGCGAAAGCTCCGTTCTGGGGCCGCCAAAACGAGGCAAAGACCAGTGGCTCGGTGGCTCGGCAAGGTCCGAGTGGCAAAATGTCCAGGGACCGCTGCTTCATGCGGCTCTTCTTCAGCTCGGCTTCCGAGGCTTCGTTGCGGCAGAGCGCCAACTCCTGCGTCTGGCTCCCAAACATCCGCAAAAGGGAAACCACATGAAACCACCGGGGAAAAAGGGAAACCAAGGGCAACCAAGGGCAACCAAGGGCAACCAAGGGCAACCAAGGGCAACCAAGGGCAACCAAGGGCAAGCAAGGGCAAGCAAGGGCAAGCAAGGGCAAGCAAGGGCAAGCAAGGGCAAGCAAGGGCAAGCAAGGGCAAGCAAGGGCAAGCAAGGGCAAGCAAGGGCAAGCAAGGGCAAGCAAGGGCAAGCAAGGGCAAGCAAGGGCAAGCAAGGGCAAGCAAGGGCAAGCAAGGGCAAGCAAGGCAAGCAAGGGCAAGCAAGGGCAAGCAAGGGCAAGCAAGGGCAAGCAAGGGCAAGCAAGGGCAAGCAAGGGCAAGCAAGGGCAAGCAAGGGCAAGCAAGGGCAAGCAAGGGCAAGCAAGGGCAAGCAAGGGCAAGCAAGGGCAAGCAAGGGCAAGCAAGGGCAAGCAAGGGCAAGCAAGGGCAAGCAAGGGCAAGCAAGGGCAAGCAAGGGCAAGCAAGGGCAAGCAAGGGCAAGCAAGGGCAAGCAAGGGCAAGCAAGGGCAAGCAAGGGCAAGCAAGGGCAAGCAAGGGCAAGCAAGGGCAAGCAAGGGCAAGCAAGGGCAAGCAAGGGCAAGCAAGGGCAAGCAAGGGCAAGCAAGGGCAAGCAAGGGCAAGCAAGGGCTTAAAAGGTAAACTACCTGCATATTCTGTCAACGTTGTGGGCCAAATGAAGGAAAACCGGGCCTCATCCTCATCAAGCCCAAGGATTGGCATGATTCATGCCAAACGTGGCATTCAGAAAAGGACAACAACAAAACAGTCACATCTGAAAATAGCAAACCCGGGACCCTAAGGCACTGCCATTCCAATTCCCTAGGGTTCTCCCTTTAGAACCCCGGGACTTGGACTGCGTCCCCCGAATGGTAAATCATCAATGGTTCGCTTGCATCATTCATGCATCATTCAAGGGTTCCAAAGCAGCATCTTCGCCCCCTGAAATTGATGGGTGACAGGCCAAGACGCACCAATCAGCACGATGTGGGGGTGTCTCAACGCAGAGTTGGGCCGTGTGGTTTCAATCATGGGAGGCGCCCAAAGATGGGTGGCTCTTGTTGGCTTTCCTTTGAAGGGGGTCCGGCCCCCGTTTGTGGAAACACGCTTGTGGTGTGTTGTTGTATTTTGAGAGGTTGGTGCAACAACAAAAAAACGGATTCTGCTTCATAAACGGGGTATCTTTTTGAGGGAACCCCCCCCCAAAAAAAAAAAAGGTGGTTTTCCTCGAGGTGTTCCTGTAAAACAACCAGACACGGGGTACTCCGCTTTTGGCGCGCAAAAAGGCCGGCCTCTGGGTCCACCACAGGCAGCAGCCCATCCGTAGTCAAGAGCTCTCGCAGCTCCGCATTGGTAAATGCCGCCTCTCGGTGCAGAACGTCTCGTCGCCTTTGGCGTGTTATGGGAAACCGCCAAGACCCCCAAGTCGAAGCACCTCTCGAAACCTCCGCTTTGACAAGCCAGCCGATTTCTGAATGGCTGCAATTTCCGCTTTACCTGATAAAGGAGGGCGGACAGGGTTGAGAAAGGATGGCTAAAGGGAACAGACTGCGGCGTCCATGCCTCAGCTTTTTCTCCTATATCTATGTGTACGTAATATATTTAAATAAATATATCTAGAACATTGTATAACATGATGCAAAGCCGCCTCGTCGACCGAAATGAACATAAATCCCAACTAGTGCTGGTAAATCCACCCATGTCCATATTCTGGCCATTCAATTGAGCACAAACAAACGCACAAGCATACGGGCTGTACCCACTTCCCTGTTTGCTGGTGAGGTATGAAATGGGATTCGGACTTCTGAAGTGGACATGACGGGATTCGCTGCCTGGGTTGTTGGCAAGGCTTGGGGCGCCTTTCGCCTGCGCCTGCTCGTAACAAGCCTCTGCACGAGGACTAGTCACAATAGGGATAGCATTGTGCTAGAACTGGGTCCTGCCAGCTACACTCAGTTGCTGCATGTTGTGCAGCGGCAAGCGCTGTCAGAGGCTGTTGCAACCCTCTTCATGACCAACGACAAAATGACCTCGGCACACACACACACACACAACCACATACTTCTTGGAGCGCATGCATCTTTCACCACTTGGCTTGGCTGTGACACCGGGCTTGCCCCGCCTGAATAAAGCCGCGGCGGCCGACAATGTGCACGGTGCGCAAGCCCGCCTTTTGCCAGCCAGTGATCGCCTCGGATCTTCAACAGAAAAAGTTGCTATCTTCTACTGGCGCGGCCCTTGCTGAGCCATCCCTGTCCCTTGTTGGTCATTTTGACGGGACAGGATTGTCAACAGCCATCCTAGAGCGGCACACAGCGCTAATTCAAAGGCCAACGACACACGAAATCACCCACACACCCTGCTTGTTTCGGCGGCAGGTCCTTCGCAACTTCCTTTGGCCAAGGGCGTTCAAATCACATGGTGATCAAACCGGACGCGGCGTCTATGCTGGCCACCCCGAGGCAAAGCAAACATGAACACACAATTGCGTTCCGCTTCGTGAGTGTTGGTCCTAATCGCTAACACCGTGAGCCAACTATTCAGCTGCGTTTTGTGAGGCGATGAGGAGGGTGCTCCAAGCCTGGAAATGAATCTCCTCAATTTCAAAGTCAGCCATTAAGAGTGCGGCTGATGCCCCAAGTTGCGCGGGAACCCGCACACTCGCGGCCCCACCTCGCCTCCACGGCTTTGGAGTCCATGTCGGTGGCATGCAGGTCCGGAGGGGAGCGCAGCAGCAAGCGCGCCACGTCCAAGGCGACGTTGCCTTGGCCCACCACCACTGCGGCCTCACCCGGGGGGTTGAACTGGAGCTCCTGGCCACGGGCTGAAGCTTGCGAAACACGAGCAAGCACTGAGGTGCCGGCAAGGTACTAGGAATCAACAGCAACGAAACAAAAAGAACCATATTTTACAATCCACATGTCATTCTAATATTTACAATTGTCTCTTCTTTTTTCATGTTGCATGGTCTTAGATACACCGGGAACTGCATGGGCCAATGGTTGCCAGGCAAAAGGGCAGGATCCACATGGGGTGAAAAAAAAACCCCGTGGCCAAACACTATAACGCTATTGAACGTTATCGGTTTTTTTTACTCCTTATCGGTTTACAGTGTGTTGGACAAGTCCCATTTGTTGGGCACTTCTGTTTGACTTTCAAGGCTCCAGCTTGTGCTCGCTGCTTAGCAAAGCTTTTTGCAGGGCCGCTGCGGCTGCAGCAGCCATGGTTCAGATCATGGCCACGAAACCAAAAATGGGCTCCTGTCTAGGATTGAGCCGAAGGCAAGCTTTTTCGTTATCGGTGCGTTATCGGTTTCGTTATCGGTGTGGACGGGACCCGAAACATCAAAAAAAGGCAACCGTAAGAAGCTTGCAACTTGAATAGCCCTTTCCCAACGTAAAATCTAGATGGCGCAGCTGAGGCGGCGAGCAGCCGCGCGCCACGGCGCCCGCAGCGCCAGTGAAGTACCAGCACGCTTTCCCAAAGAAAAGAGCCCTGACCCTGAAAGAAGCAGACCAACACACAAATCGCAGGTATGAACACACAACCAAAACATTCCGCTACCTGCATACATGCATATATGTGTGCATCTTATATATATATACAGGTATGAACAGATATACATATGTGTATATACATATATACATGCAAATTAGGGGTTATCGTTTTTTTTACTCCTTATCGGTTTACAGTGTTGTGGCACTGTTCTGCAATGCTCCTGAAAGCTAAGGGATGCCCGAATACTAAACTCAAAGGCGCGGGTTTTTTTTTTCCACCCACATGGGGATCGGTTGCTCATGACCGAATCCTCGGGCTCGATGCCGGCAACTGCCATATATGCCTGGCGCTTCGTTACCTCCCTATCTGGGTGAACTAAAATACTTCACCAGCCTGAAATAAGGTGGTTCGGGCGCAGTTTCCAACATAAACCACCATTTGGGGTGAGGTTGTGGGAGGTCGTCACAATTCACCCAGTAGGATTCTGGCCTGTTCGTGGTATCTGCCGCGCTCCGCTTCTACCCAACACTTGAAAGTTGGATTTCAGAAGGATCACTGGGCAGCCAAATGTGGGCAGCATGCAAGCGTCCTGGTAATCTGGATGGCTGTTGTACCATTTCACCTGAGGCAAAGGTGAAAACAAACAACAAGCCCAACACCAATGCACTGTGAGCAAACCTCCAAGCTCAAGCTCGAAGAGAGTTACACATCATGTTCAAAACACATTCCATGCATGCCATGCATGCCAAATATTGCACAAGTATGAACATCTAATCCAATCAATCTCATTATTTGCAATGAAGCAAGGCGAAACGGTACACGACACATACAAGACACAAGTTACTCCAAACTGTGACACATGTCCCATGTTCCTGTTTTGCTGACAACAGCCATAGGCAACTCATGGCAACCCGAAAACTGCGGGACCTCAATTTCCGACTTCCAATTTCTTCCTGGCGGCGAAGGCTGGCGCGCCCACCACGCCGAAGGCGTCCTCCCCCGGGATGCCCAAGCGGCGCTCACCGCTGGCGCCGCTGCAAAGGATCACGGCGTCGTAGATCTGCCGCCTCGGCTGGGGGCCTGGGGGCCTACAACATGCTTCCTCCTGGTGAAGCCGCTTTGCGGGGCCCTCCCTAAAAAAGGAACCGTTTGGTCACATCCCCAAAGTGGATGCAAAAGCAAACGGGAGCACAATGCATGCTGAAAGGGGCCCTCCTGGGTAATGGGGAGGAGCTTCAGGGCCACATGCAGTGGCCGGCACGCCCAATGCAGCGATTGATGGCCATCGGCATAGCATGGCACAATCCACTAGCGCCACTCGGTCATTTGCTGTTTTGGCGAAAAAGAACGCGGCTCTTCAGCGTTGCTATGACAAAACGCCGTGAAGCCGGCGTCTGCGGTGACCTAAATTGGAGAAACGCATCACAAGAGGTTCATCAAACCTGGCAAAGGTTGAGAGCCAGCGGTGTTGGGCCATTCCTCTTGAAGATCACGCTTCAATAGGGCTCAAGACATCATGCATCCTTGAGCTCGGCGCGGGTGAGTGGGCCGAAGGTGTCCACAGAGACTGGCGCGTCCGGAATATCTCCGGAGTCCAACTCCTTCATGAAGTCCTCTGCCACCGACTTCTCGTTGTCCACGACCCCCAAGGCAGGGCCAGCCTTGCCCTTGACATCGGCAGATTCCAGGGCTGTGGCAGCTGCGGACTGCTCGCAAATCTCCGCAGTGATGGCCGCCTGGCGCTTCTTGTTGTAGAGGACCAGCAGCTTCTTCTGGAGCTCCTTGGCGTTGTCTGTGGCCGCCTTCATGGCAGACATTCGAGATGAGAGCTCCGAGGCCTGAGCATCGAACATCAGGGACAAGATCTGGGAGTTCAAGTAGAGCGGCAGCATGGAGTTCAAAATGACCCCAGGGGGCTGGTCGAAGATCACATCTGCCTCAATTTCCTTCGCCTTGGGGGACTTCTGCTTCTCCCTCTCCACCTTGAGCTTGCCAGACTCTGTGGTCAGCCTGAATGTCTCATCTTCCGGATCTTCAATGCCAGTTGGTGAGAGGGGCAGCAGGGTGCGGATGGTGGGCTCGTTGCTGATGAGGTTGATAAACTTGCCGTAGGCGATCTCAATCTTGTCCACCTCGCCAGAGAGAAAGTAATTCTCAAGCGTCTCTGCAATCTCTGCTGAGTCCTTGGCTTTGATGGTGTCCGGCATTGCGAACCACTCCTCGGTGTAGTTGTACTTGATGTCCTTGGGGAAACGAGTCTTCATGCCGGCGAGGCCCTTCTTTCCAACAATCAGAAGCTTTGGGGTGATGCCCTGCTTGTTGAGATCTTCGATTCGGGCCCCGGTCTTTTTGATCACGAAGGTGTTGTATGCACCGCAAAGGCCTCGGTTGGCGGTCATCATGAGGATGCCAACCTCCTTGACCTTCTCCGGAACGCGGAGCATTGGCAGGTCAGCCTCCAGGCCAGTGCCCTTCAATCGCTTCACCAGGCCCTTGATCATGCCCAGCAGCTCATCGCTGAAGGGCCGACTCTTGGCCACGCCGTTCTGGGCAGCCCGGACCTTGGCGGCTGCCACCAGGCGCATGGCATCTGTGAGCTTGCTGGTCTTGCCGATGGAAGTCACACGGTCCTTCAGCGCCTTGTCCCCAGCACATCTGGCCACCTTCACCGACCGGGACTTGGATTGCACAGCACTGACGAAGTCCACCTCCGCGTGCTTCCACACGCAGCTCGCGGCAAAGAGTACCAGGCCTACGGCCAGAGTCACCCCAACAGACCCACGCCTCACCGCCATTGCTCAAAAAAGGGGCTTCTAACAGCACTCAATCAGCCAAAATGGCTGGGCAGTTGCACGTTTGTTGCAAATCAATTGATCTGCCATGCCAATCATCGTATCATCGTGCAAGCCGTGCCAAACACTCAACAGCTTCAACATAGCCATCGCCCGTCGACTTCCCAATGTCAAAAGTCCAGACCCTCAAACACCCAACATCTTGACCTCTCCAATGAGGCCAGTTGGTTGGTGTGATGCGTCCAATTGGCCGAGATGGCAACTCCTGATCTAGCCCGCGTGGCCTCAATCCAAAACGAACACCAACCGCAAGACCAAAGCGGGTGACGCTGGACTTCCTTACGACTTCGCCGGGGCGCAGTCGCTCCAGTGGGACCTCTGGGCCAATCTCCGTGTTGCCAAAGAAGCGGAAGTTCGGGGCCGCGGCCACGGCCGTGAAGTCGTTGATCACATTTTTCACCTGCCAAAGACCCGGGGGAAGGAGAGGGGGGCTGAAGCTACCCATCCAGTCCCGGCGAAAACAACATGGGGTGGAATATCCGGAAATTGAGCACCAGTTTGCCCAAGCTGAGGGGACCTGCTTGACGTGCGGGTGCACGAGCCAGGCGCGAGTCAGTTAGATGCATCAGGCAGTCGGTAAGCGAAAATGGGTCGCCTTCGCCTGACTCCCCTATCCAATCATCATGCCCAAGCGGATGGAAACAGTCGCTCCATCCCTCAACAAGTCAGTACTACAAGTCCAATTCAATAAGCTAATAAACTACAGTTGCGTCGATACCTTGCTATCCGATTCATATCATGGCCATGCTGAATGCCGATGCGTTGCCAGTCGCCTCCGGATGGTCCGGAGCCACCCCAAAGCGCACCAGGCCGAAGGGCGTGGGCAAGCGCTCAAACATGTCGATCTTCATGGACTCGTCCTTCAGGGAAAAGCCACCCCAAGATGCCAACATGAAGTCAGCATGAAACCAACACAAAGCAACATGCAGGTACCAGGAGACTCTGGCATCAGCCGGGCAAGATCAAAAGCAGCTGGCTCACAGCAAAGCAAAGCACAAAATGTATGCTGAAAGTATTGCCTACGAGAACTGACCTCTTTGCATGAGCGCAGGTGCAACAATTGCCCACCATGCCCAAGAGGCAGAAACAAGGCTGGACATGTCAAAGGCCAAGCGAATGATTCTGGAATCAATCAGGGCCGCGGTTTTGCAGCACCTACCAGGCACATAAGCAGCGCACAAGGATTGGAGGCTGCGCAGAAACCAAGCCCTGTCCTTCTTAAGCAAAAACTTGGACGTATAAAAGCCTGCTGGACCACTCCCCACCACAGCCACATGATACTGCCGCAAGCCCTTCGCAAAGCGAGCTGCTGACGGCGTCAGCTTCCACATGGCAGGCAGTCAGAAGTGAACTTGTCAAAGGGCCGAAGGCCAAAGGTGTTTGCCAAAGCCGCATTTGACTTGCACCGTTCTTCGTCCGAATCAAGTAGCTCATATGTCGTGGCATTAGCTTGCGAACACGGCGTGTTGATACATTGCCCAACTGCCTAGGCCGGGCATGCAAAAGCTGGTGAACCTTGGTGCACTGTGCATCTCGAGTATCAGTTGCTCAGCAGCAACGCGAACAAACTCTAGAATCAAATCTCATCTGTTGGCCTTCATAGAACGTCTGCTTGTTTGCTGGTATGCGTGATGCAGTCCATGCCATGCATTGGGGACGTAGCTCGTAGATCTGCAACAGGGTTTACAGTAACCCACTGGCAGAATGCCAATGCCAGGCGAGGTACTATGAGCCAAGGCAGGGCTTCACGGCTCAAGACGTGCTCGAAAACTGAAAAAAGGCGAAGCATAAAGCACGCAACTCCCAAAAAAAGCAACAAACACATGCAATCCCATGTTCTGCTGCGAAAGCCTACCGTCAAAAGGCCTGGTTTTTTACTTTCTCCCATACCAATTTGACAGCTGGGATCAAATATGCTGGGGAAAAGGTGCTTGCCCGTTGATTCCAAACCAACTGCAAAAGCCGTTTCTGGCCGTGTCATACAACAAGGGAAGCCACATTAACCGGCGTGCCGAAAGCCGAGTGCGCGCGCCCAGCCGGTAGGATCTCCGGGCTTCCACACCATGGATTCCAAGCCTGCTGCCTCTAGAGGCACCTGGGGCACTGAGTTGTTCAGAGCTTTCAGTGCCGAAATGCCTGTGCTGAACCCAGTGCGCTTGGCTGGCCAGCAAAAACTGCAGAAAAACCTCGCGCAAGAAGGCCCTTGCCAGTGGTCTCCAGCGGTGCGCAGATTCTGAGGTTTTCCGGCCCAAGTCTCTTCCAAGGCCACCTGTCAACTTCCATCTTCTTTTGTGTTGGGTGTGTGTGTGCGTGTATCAGGACAGTTGATGTCCTCCTAGTTCCACTGTGAAAGTATTTTTAAAAAGGGTTATCGTTGTTATCATTTCGAGCCGCATTTCGTATTACATAATGATTGCAACAGCCCCTGCAAAAAGTGCCGGCCTCGAAACAACGAGCACGCACGCTTGAAGAGCGCCGGTGTCACTTAAATACGCGAATGTGTCAAACGTACCTTCCCGGCAAACCAAGGCCTCCTACAAAATTAACGTGTTTGTGTCTGCTTTCCACCACTGAAATCCCACCTCCCTGAAGAACACGTTGCAAAACGAGGCTGTGGCCAAACTCATCGCACGCCGGACGGTGACGTACCCCGGCATGGCAGCCTACACTGCCACACTCTTATCCACAAGGTCCATGACTATAACGCATGAGATGCTTGAAACAGAAAGCCTCCCCACGTACTTTGAGGCTGATCCTTCTTTCAGCAAGCCCAAGCCACATCGGATCTGCCTCAAAAATGGGGGCCTCCTTGAGCCCCGTGGAGCCATATCATATGATATGATAGGATGGTTGGCTTCCTTCTACCCATTTAAAGAAACAACGAAGGTCCCGTCAGAACCAATCAGGCCTCCAAAAGCAAACCTTCCACACTGCCCATCTTTCACCCGTGCCCCGTCAGCCCGGGGCCCTGGCCCCCGCGTTGCAGGCGGCTTCTGCCGCCGTGGCAAGCTGCGCCAAGGGCATGGTGCCCGTGCCTATCATCCGATGTCGACCCAAACCGAAATTGCCGTGGGCTTCAGAAACTTCAGGGCCTGTTCAGGGCTTCCAGCGCAAGTGGCCACCACAAGTTTGTGGCAAGCTCTGCCCTATCTCTCTTTGAAAAACTCGGAAGGAAGCCTGGCATTGAAACACAGGACGGAGTTCGGGAAATAACCCAGTGATATCAACCAGGGCGATCCTTGTGACACCCAAAGGGGTCCCTTGCCACAACTAACTGGTTGTCAAGGCGCTGATTGGAGCAAACCGGGCGCATTTTCGAGAGACCCAGACTTGGTGTCTCCAAACGGAAGTTTTTCCCCTTCGCAACCTTCAAAACCGGGGTGGTGTCTTGCCCAGAAACTGGCTTTGCATTAAAAGTCACGGGGGCACCAGCGTCACCACCCCCCTTAAGTGTCTAGACGTGGGCGTAATTTTAAGCTTTTACCTGGCCATGGGTCAAAATCCAAATCGTACCGTGAACATCCCAATCCAACCACTAAACAGGCTAGAATGGGTGGTGAATTCACCCAGGTACCATTGGTTTTGACCCACAGCCACCTGGCAATCCCGGAACCTTCCCTGGCGCGGTGAGTCTTCGGGTCTTTCGCTGGGCTCCACGGCCGCACCCCCGGATGTGGCCGAAGACCTGAGGCGGCGGACCGGGTTTCGGGGTTTCGGGTGGGGGGGGGGGGGGGTTGAGAATGGTCACTAGGCAAAAGGAAGCAAAATGTAAGAACAACTTCGGTCAAATTATTTGACGGTATGTCCAATTTCTACTGGATCCAGCGGATTGCCTTCATTTGGAACTGCCCACCAACCCAACAGCAAAACCAAGAACACCACCAGCGCCCCGGTCAGCCCCAGCAGCACAAGCCACCAGGACTCTGAGGCCTGACCATGAACCGGTCTTTCCACAATACACGGTGCATTCAGTTGAACTTGCCGCCTTTGGCACCAAATTGCACCGAAATTCCCGGCTGCTATTTTGGTGGTTTGAAAGTGAAGGTGGTGTGATCAACCTCTGGCGTTCTGCCACTCAGTGCAACAACTACAGCGGCCTATGACATCAACAAAATCTGAGGCATCTGCGAGTTGCACTTCTGCACGGGAGATGCCCAAAGGCAGGACCTGAGCATCATCAACGGGGTGACCTGTGGATCAATGGCCCAGTGAAAAACCAGACGAGGATCGGATCCCGTGGAAAGGCATGCCTCGAACCAAGCACGGCCAATGCAACACCACATGAACAGCTGATGATTGACATAATATGAGCTGTTGCTAGCTGAGCCAAACCAGTCACATCCAAGTGAATCATCGCACCAACCTTACAAATCCTACAAAAACTCACCGAACCGCATAGGCAAATTGTGTTAAACTCCCGCCAAAACAAAAGCAAGCCTGCCCATTCCAAACATGTTTAGCGGCTGGTGCTTGGACATATCCAATTTGCTGACTTGCTCCTTGGTTTGAGGCGAAATCGTCATCCCCCGTTCATTTCTTCATCCCCGAAAGGCAGCCAGCCAACATTCCTGTCTATACATGTGCTCGGATTCACTTGTCTATTATTGCCGCTTCGTTCTCCTCTCCATAGATCCCGCCCACGGGATGCGCAACACATGATGTCCGCTCCTGTCAAGAATATCACCCTTGTCCAACTGGATCTCCTTTTCATACTGAATAATTATCACCCTTTTCATGCTGATGTGGATTCCTAAAAAACAAAAAAAGAGACAAACAAAAAGAGCGGCGATTTCGGCAGCGTTGGGGATATTTCGGCCAGGCCCCCGGATCCGCCGACTGCTGAACTGCCGAGCTGGGCTGCCCGGGCGCTCACTGCCTCCATGACCTCCTCCAGCGTGGCCACCTCTGGGCTCCGCGCGAAGAGGCGCAGCACCTGGGCCGACGGCTGGGGCCTGGCCCTCCGATTCAGCCCCAAATCGGTGGGGGGAGGTCTAAAAATGTACCACCCTCCCACCAATTAACACATGGAACCGGATGTTCTGGGGTCCTGGAAGACCAGGTTTCTTTTTAAAGGGACCGGGTGCCTGCCAGGTTCCACGTCAGTTGGTGGAAGGGAATCATATGTCTGAGATCATGTAAGCTCATCAAGTTAAGAACTACATTGACGAACAAATCCCAAAGAGGCTAGAAACAAAAAGAGGATCTCAGAGCCTTGCCAAGTCGCCCAACCATTGCGTGTGGAAGGCCTATCGCAGTTATGCTGAATGCCAATGGGGCGTTTGGGGAACAAGAGTGTACAAATCAGCAAATGACGGTTGTCTGAACTTTCGCGGAGGTCAACGCTAAGACGAAAAGGTCTTCCCCTTCATAGCTCAATACAAGGACCTTTCGGACGACTCTCAAATCAATTTGTGGGGCGTGCCGAAAATAAGACTTAGATACAGACACCATCAGCCTGGGACCAAAACGCTCTCGGAAGTCGTGAGAGCCGTTCGGGTTTTATGAGTGTCGAAGCATACACCAAGAAAGCCAGGGACGCCATTGTCTCGAACCACTGCCTTGGAACGACCAGCACCACACATATAAGTCGAGACAAAAAACAGAGAGAGGGAGAGAGAGAGATCGAAAAAAAAAAAAAAGAGGGGTGATGGGCAGGGTGCCAGGCAGCACAAGAAACACCAACGGAGAGCAAAAAAGAAAGCAGGCACGCACGCACGCACGCGCGCACCCACCCACCCACGCACGCATGCACGTCTTGCGACGGCGTCCTTCCGAGTCAATCTGAGGAGCTTGGTCAATGATTGAAACATTGCAAAGTAAATTCCTGAAAGACTACCCAAACAATGGTTTC